CCTGTGTCATATCTCTGGCTAAATCACAATCACCCTAGGTGCAAGTTTATGAGCTCTATGCTTCTCAATTAATCACAAACGTTAATCACATTTACAATTCATAAACTCACCTGGGCTTACCTGAGCGTCCACAGCACCACAATCATATATTATGCATCATATACTAATTCATATCTAGAATATAAATATATATGCATGGCATTTCAAAGCATACTTTCATTTAAACACATTTTCTGGGAAAATATCAAGTATATAAGTATATACTAAAAACCAAAAGCCCACTCACTGGTATGTCGAAGGGTCGTAACCCTCAAGTCGCCCTTGATTGCGCTCGTCCTCGGGATAAGTCTCCTTTATATGCGAAACAACTATAAAAAGGTTAATTTAAAGCACCTAACCAATACTAGCTAATAACTTCTCATACATTGGTCAAATGGGATGTTTGAATATACCAACGTGATCTACACAACTCCACGAACATCCCCATATTTTTAAAATAATTTTCCGATCACCACGCGCCGCCACGCGTCGGCAAGTGCACAGCAACACGCGCGGCCACGCGCAGGGAACCCTTACGGAATTCCTAACTGCCGTTAGGAATATTCCGTCCAAATTACTTGACGCCGTTACTCTCCATTAAGAATATTCCGTCAACTTTGACAGAATATTCTTCTGTCTTCTCCGGTGAACCTCGCCGGTCGTCGCCGTCGCCAGAAAACTGGAAAATGATTAAACCTTGATATCTCAATCATTTCTCAACCAATTTTCATGCAATTTGTACCAAAATGAAGCTAAGAACACAATCTTACCAATTTCAAGTTCCAAAAATCACGGAATCTCGACGGAGATAACTCGATAATCCGACCAAAACTTAAAACTCGTCGTTCTCCACTTCCCGACGTCCAGTTAGCTTGGTTTTTCTTCTCCGAGCTTCATAAGGATGCTCTAAAGCTTCCTACAAGCTTGAAATCCTCAAAAATTAATGCATTTACGACTGCATGAACAATGCTCAATTCGGAGGGTGATGGTTTCTCGGGAAAATGAGGGTTTCACGTCCAAAGAAAGGTATGGATGAGTTCATGACGATGAGATGAAGATGATGATGCTAACCACAAACTCGATCCGTGCGTGAAATGGAGGTTTCAATGGTCGTTCGTACAACTTGTACGGAATTTGCAAGAAAATCCAGAGAGAGAAGGCACGGGAGAAAGGGAGAGATCTTTTGGGTGTGTGTGTGTGGTCCTCACACTAACACATCATCAAACAACATTTTTACAACACCAACCATAAAATATCTAGGTTTAAACTTGACCAAAATAAACTAGGGCAATAAAAATAAACCCAAAATTTTTGCCCAAGTCCAATGACTCGATCCATCCCTCAGGGGTAATTTCGTCAATTTGCATCATCGAGAATATAATACAATAAGTTCAAGGATGGGCTGTGACAGACTAACCCATTTTTAATGGTGAACCACTTAGACCATCTCCAAAGGAGATGTCAAATCCTAAATGGAATGTCACGTAATAAAAATTGAAGGCAATAGAAGCTCAAACCGATATGCCAGTCCTATGTGGATTGATATATTTATTGTGCGCTGCCAATTTTGACATATGAGAAAATCTAATGTCGGTTTTTTTTAAATGTTTTGTTGTGTGGGTCCTAATAATGCACCAATCATAAATCATGAAAATTAGTTTTTATTTATTTGTTTTTAAGAGTGGGTCCTACAAATATTAATTGAATAAGAAAAAATATATGCGTTGGAGCAAAAGAAAATTTTACATTGCCTCATAAGCCTTCAAATTTACATTTGACATTTTTTTGGGGTTAATGCTAGAGAGACCGAATTTTCAAACCAAATGATATGGTTATTTATAATTGGGTTAGCTTAAGGGGTAATGCTAGAGAGACCAAAACTTTTCAACCAAATTTGTAAACTAAATGATGTGGTGGTTAATCATTGAATTATTTCTTAAATGTTGATTACCGTGCTTAATTTCAATTGGTGACACATCATTTAATTTACAAATTTGGTTTAAAAATTTAGTTTATCTAGCATTATCCTTACTCAAGTGTTGATTAACATGCTTATTTCTTATTGGCAACACATAGTTTAGTTTACAATTTGGTGTAAATATTTGGCCTACTTAGCATTTCTCTATTGGAGATGCTCTTATATTCTGTTGTCTATATTCTAGATTTATTATCCAAGCCCACCAACAATTGACCGTATTGATCTTGTGTTGACCTCCCAGTTTTGAGCCTAACATTTGTGACCTCAAACAAATTATCGTATTCTTCTAATATAATATATAATACTATATAAATCCTTCTTGTTATGTAAATTTGATGCTGGAAATTTAGAATAAAATACATTATAGTAAGAAAAGAATAAAGTAGAGAGACGGTAAGATGACAAGCTTTCAAAGCTAGCTATAATTAAGGGATGATTTGTTTTGTGATACCTTATTGTTTGATTTTAGTATTATTATTATTATAATCATTAATATCACATGAATAATATAGATGAAACGTCACTGCCTCAACAATACAAAATTTGTTTTGGATTAGGATGGCGAAGACAACTCAACAAGTTCTTAGTGTAGTGGGTTTAGTTTAGTTCTATGTTAGAAAACTATTATCTTTTCTATTAGTTTAAAAGGAACGTAGGGATATGGTTTGAAGAAATAATTAATTGGGAGTACCCACATACTTATCATCTAATCATGTTTATCAAGAGTTTATCTTCTTAATTTGTTATGGAAACTGAAAAATATAGGTCCGTGGTTACAAAGTTGTAGTCATGACCATGTCTTTTTTCTTAATTATCCTTGAATTAGAATTCTCTTTTCTGTGTTGATGATGTTAGGATGCCCTACTTGTGGGGTTAATTGGTTAACTGAGAGTTGTTAACTAAATTGAGTCTTTAGTCCATAAAATAAAATAAAAAGTCCGATTATTGTTGTGGAGTAATGTTTGATTTTTTTTTTAAGTACATTAATATTTTTTACATTAGAGGTTTAATTACATGATTAAATATTGCTGCATCCAAACAAAATATATAGTAGTATCTTCATGGACTTGGGCAATGCTTTGTTTTGAAGAACCTCCTCTATTCACTTGTGTACTACTAAACGATATTTTGGAGTTGTTCATACTCAAGTAGTAATAGAAAAAAAAAATATGAGGGAATTAAAGAACTTCAAAAGAAGGAAACTAAGAAAAACGAACCAGATCAATCAATTCCCCTTTAGTTGATTCGATTACTACTTCTAGATATTTGATTACGGATTTTAATGTGAAGCTTGCACTTTTCCAGTTCCTTACATGTAAGCAAACACATGAAGAAAGTTCCCCAGTATATTGATTCCCATACTCATAATTTAGTAAATGCATGAGACTCAATAATCAAACAAAAATTCTACTCTTATCACATTTTCCATACCACTTTTGTATCACCTTTTTAATAAAGATGAGACTAACATGTATTGGTAGGTCTTACCTCTATTAGAGAGGTGGTACAAATGTAATAAGTGTAGCATTATTCTAATCAAAATAATTTCAATTCCTATTCCTTGTAATTTTTATGTTGATAGTTTTATCTTTGTTTAGCTTCTTGCTCGACCTTTTGGCCTCCTTTGTAACCAAAAAAAAAAAGGAAAATTAACGAAAATTCTAAAAAAACTTCTCTTTTAACGAAAATCTCTTTTTAAAGGTATAGTGAATAGTACCAGTTAAAGAACAAATGTGGGTTTTCGTTAAAAGTGAACAGTACCAGGAGTGTTTTGTTAAAACTCCCAAAGAAAGAAAGACATATAAAGTTCTGAAGACCACATCATAAACTATACCATGTACAGGTTTATTAACTGTTGAGAGTAAGTATAAATTGCATATCTCATATGATACTGTAATGATTAATGAACCTCTCCAGTAAATAAAAACATAATTTGCAAATCAAGTAGATGTCTGAAATACGATATGAAATTGCAGAAATCGTTCAGTTCAACTTCTTAAATTTCATTCTCTCTGCAACTTTGTCATCAAATTTCTGAGATATTCTGGAAAGGAGAGAATGTTTTAAACACCACGTAATGATTCAGAGATATGTTCTACGTACGCCCATGTCATCACTAGAGAAAGCATGCAGTGTGCATGTGCTTGAGCACACGATAATATTAGTTTAAGCTAGACTAGAGTGTCCTAAATTAGCTTGTTGGATGATTTTCGTACTCCTTTTAGCATCTCTCTTTATTTTGTAGTCATCGAATTGTTGGAAAAATAGTCTAATTGTGTATTTTAGTCATATGAGAAATGAATAAGTCATCATGCAGTTAAACATAAAATTAATGCATACGAACAATTATAACTAATGCTAAATGCACATGGAAATGGATTAGAAAAATGTGAAAAATCAGTCTGAGGCAAATGTTAGATATAGGGTCCTTAAGACAATTTTACGTTCTACTATAGCGCTCATGGTTGATTGGGGTTTGTCTACCAGGATATAACGACCATTTCCTTATAACAATAGCATTCCAAATCACAAGGTTCCAGTAAACTACGATTGTATTGAAAACTCTCATATGGACTCAATGAGTGTCTAATACCTAGTGCACTATATGTCTGAATATGTGAATGCTGGATTACCCTATTTACGGATATTGAAGAGCCATTTCTCAAAATATGTGACTTATTTTGAAGAGGCAAGTAGTGAATCTCTTGACTTAAAAGATGCATCATTTCATATGTTTCAATAGTGAGAACTTAGTGAATATTTATCACAACATAATAGCCTCCATCCGTGGATTCCAACTGGTTTATGGAAATGAAGGTCAGTGTCACCACCATTCATTTGAAAGCTGTCCACCATACCATTATAACACATACTAATGAAAAGCTATAATGGTTCACCCTCGAACCAATATAAACCCACTTCAAGTACTATTTCCACTGAAAAACTATAATGGTTCACACTCCATCCATGCATGTCTCAGCCGGATTGAAAACTTCTGCTATTTTAATTGAAAACTTCTGTTATTGTTAATTTCAAGTAGAATCATAAGCAATGTTTATCCCCCGGACGTTCGATCTGCTCTTTTTATACCTTCAAAAGAATAGGTTACAATGCTCGGTCTACTCTTCCAAAACAATATCTACATACGGTACAATACAACATTAGGGAAATTTACCAACTACCATGAAGAAAAATCATTAAAATTGGACGCGGAAACTCCTGATTTTCTTTTCTTTGTTGAAGGAAGCTCTGTCAGACCAGCACCAACAGCAGCCGGTTCAGGTAGAGCACTCCTTGCTTTCAAATACTTCCCAACACCACCACCACCACCAAGGCCAGATTCCACTCCCGTACCAGGATTGCTAAACCATGACCCAACCTTGTCCTGAAAGTTAACACAAAACGAATTGCTTTACTATCGTAACAAACGGAATAAAGTTGAAAAAAAACACCAGCACAAATTTAAGGGTCTCGTAACAAACATTATCTTCATCCTGAGCTTTCTCTTCAGCTTTGGCCTTTTCTTCTTCTTCATCAGGCTCTGTGTAAGGATTGACAAAAATTGTGACACTTGTTATCTTAATTTCCTCCTGCACAAGACACAGCAGAAGAAAGAAAGTGAGGCCTGGGTACAAAGGAGTTTGACCTTGCTTAAAAAATCATAAGATTCAGACCTAGTTTGGGAGTGAGGTGCTTAAAAAAAAAGCACCCATGAAAAAAAGCTGTGAGGGTTTTAGGTGTTTGGTAAACTGAAAAAAAAAAAGCTTATTTTGGAAGCTGCTGTGAGAATAAGCTGAAATCAAAGGAAAAAGCTGAAGCTGCTATTTGCAGCTTTGGAAAACTGGCTTTTTTTCAAAGCACACAGAGCTACAATGCTTCTTTAATGAAAAAACCCACTATTAGACTGCTTTTTTTTCCAAAAGCACTTTTACAAAAAAGTTTACCAAACACTGCTGATTTATTTCACAGCCGCTTATTCTCACAGCACAGCCGCTTATTCTCACAGCAGCTTTTTTTCAAAGCACAGCAATACCAAACCAGCCCAGTAGGTTATATGTAGCAGTGTCGAACATTGAAACTCATGGAACAATTTCAGCTACTAGTACTGATAAGATGAAACGCTATAGATATTCATACAGCCGTGTGCATTAACACGTGCATGTACATAGATGTACATAAACTCCTGCTGCAACTAGCAGGAACTAGGTTTGGACTATAGTAGCTATAAAATGGTAAAGAGAACCAACAATATTACGTTAGGGCTTTCAATAAACTCTAGCCAGCATGATCTAGAACGAGAGTGACAATTTAAAACAGTAAACACATATAATGTAGATGGATGATTCTTATACACACCTGATAAAATGCTTACAATCAACAGACATGAATACTTATTTGAAAAGGTAAAAAATTATAAAACATGAATACAGGACTTTAGTTTTGATAAAAGAAAAAACAATAAACTTACCAAAGGTCGGTCATTATCATCAACAGGAACCTTTTCCATTACTGCCAATGTGGTCAAGCCACCGACAACTCCACCGAAAACCGTATGCTTGTAGTTCAAATGATTTGCAGATTTGTAAAGGATGAAAAATTGGGAGCCATTAGTGTGTGGCCCACTGTTAGCCATACTAACAACACCCCTTCCAGAGTGCAGTAACTTGGAGTTCACTTCATCATTAAAAGGCTTTCCCCATATAGATTCCCCTCCTGTCCCAGTACCAGTAGGATCACCACCTTGAATCATAAAATTCCTGCACAGAAAAGTGAATCGTAAATCCTTAACCATTTCTATCTTCATTCACAACAAGAATTTAACTTGAACAAGGAATTTAAACTAGAGCATATCACCATACCTAATGCTTCTATGAAAACCTACTCCGTTATAATAGCCACGTTCACAAAGAGTGATGAAGTTCTCGCAAGCTCTGGGGGCAATATCACAGTGTAGCTCAATGTTCAAATCACCATGTGTTGTGTGTAGTTGTACATATCCTTTCTTTTTTGGATTCTTCTCAACTTTGACATATTCAAATTCATTTTCAGTAACAGGAGTAAAGGCGGTAGAAGTGAAAGATCTGGAAGCAGCACCCGTGGTGAATCTGCTCTTTACCTGAAATTAATACTTGTGTTAAACAGACAGCGAGGAAAAATAATTGTTGCTGGAATAGTGCTACTCTTTTAAACATTAAACACAATTAAGTTTAATAATCATACTGTAGCTCCTAGCATTTACTATTGGGTAGGAGAGATTATAAATAAAATCAGCTAACCATCTTTGCATTCACTGGTGCCCTCTCACCAGCCTTGTGCATAGCAATTCGAGCAGCAGTTTTGTCACTTGATGTGGCTCTGGCGGCAGCAGCACTTCTTCCATGCACAGAAGCAGAAGCAGCATCCACAATACTATATGCCTGAGCTTTCACCTCCCCATTTGATTTTGATTTCGGATCCTCTTTAATACGCGTTCTTGCAGCTAAAATGGCTTCAAGTGCAGCAGCCCGTTCATTTTGTGCCTTGCTGCCACCTCCTCCATGCAGTGCAGCTAGCCTTCCTTTTTCAGTTCCAAGCTCTTTGAGCATCTGCTTGATATCTCCATTTACATTAATGTTAAAGGTGGGGTCTGCACTCATTCTCTTAAAATCTGAAAAAGAGATGAAATAAAAAGAAGAAAATAAATAAAAGTTATTAACAGAAAAATAACACTATAGTTGACCCACAATGGTAATGAAGCGTCTAGCTCACCTTCATCATCAATTTTCAGACTATTTTTAACATGATCGAACTCCACTAGAACCTTGCTGTCAAGTGCATTGGGATTCTGCAAAGGGCATCCATAAAAACCAATGATATTCAAACAAGAACTTACAATGTTTCGATACAAAAAAATATATCTCAAAATTCTCCAGTACCTGAATGGTTATCAGGTCTTCCTTAGAAAATGGTTCATCTGTGAGGAGCTCCTTCCAATTCTTGGTCTTGATGTTTAGTTCTTTAACTGCCTAAAAAGTGAAAGAAGAAGTGAGATAAAAATGTATACAGAACAGTTATATGTATTATACAGTCTGAAGAAAACTTATACCATTGACACTATATCATAGCAAGAAAACAAACCTCATAGGAGAAGACATTTCCTGTTGTCTTCACAGCAACTATGTGTGTAAATTCAGTGAAAACTTTGTTCAAAACAGGGCACTGAAACTCTCCTACACAACAAGTGAAAAAAAAAAAAAATTCAATCGTCTAAGAGAAGATACCTAAACAACAGATTATGAACTGCCAAATCAGAGGTATAAAAATGGTGAAGCAAACAAAAACCGTCTGGCTGACATACTCCCATAACTATACAGAGGAAGAAACTATGAAAAATTCTGCTGATAATAGATACCAACTAGTAGTTAAAATTATCCATCATACCATTCCGTCTGATGAGTTTCCTCAAAAAAAAAAAAAAATTGTGCTTAGAAACTAGTTTCAATAAGGTTTCTGTCAACAACAAAGTAGGCCTCCAAATGTTCATTTGATTCACCAAACCAGTGGAAATTGGTTTGACCAAAGGGATACCAGTAACACTTTCAACCTCAAAGTTCTAACTGGAGATGTGATAACTTTACGGTTTACGACTTCTTGCTGTGTTCCTTTATGCAAAACTTACATAGTTATATTGGTTCTAAAACTGGGAAAGCAATTACCACCACACCTCATGGTCATGGAAGCAATTTCTCATTTGCATTTTCTATGGTTAATATCGTTAAACCACTAAATTCATGCAGATACGTATGTATGCATGAATACACATATTCCAACTCAGGTTTGAGATCTCATTTAAATCATGCACTGTAACAGTCTTTCCTGTCCTGAATATTCCACTTAAAAAATTCTAAAATCATTTCTGTCAGCACAAGACTGGAAAAAATAAACATTAATCCAGTGCCATAATTCCAGTTTAGCTTATATTCCAACTTCAACTAACTAAAGGAGGTACTATCCTACATGTTCTTCTATAGCATATGAACCACTATCTACTCTATCCAATGAATGCATGATTTGTCAAAATGTATGCAAAAGCAAACTAACAAGCACAAACCATCAGAATTCTTGTGGAACGTTAGCGGTATGAGATTCTCCTGCTTCAGCGGAGCTCCGGTAACAGGATGCTTCCCATACTTTCTGATATATGGAATTATATTCCTGCACCCATTTTCCAAAACCCAAAAACAAAATTCATGTCACACAGAATCTCCACACAACAAAAAAACAGTGAAGCTAATGTAAAACCCACGAAATTAGATGTGCCTAAGAATAGCATACTACGACAAACTCACAGTATATCAAAAACGCTGCCGTCTGCGGTGCACACTGGGTCTTCAAATGGCGTAAACGTAAGCCTGCAACAAAAATTGAAGAAAGGCACCAAATTTAACAAACAAAAGTTGAAATTAGCCAAAAACAAAGAATGTGCAATTATATATATATATATAGAGAGAGAGACAGAGAGAGAGAGGGGGGGAGGGTACGCGCAGCAATAGAAGGGGAGGCGCTTGAAAGGAGTGGAGGTGGGCTGGGCTTTGGCGCCGCCCCATTCGGTGGCCCACTCCGTTTTGGTGATGAACATTCGATCTTTGCTGTGCTGCTTCTTTCCCATTGTGTGTTACCTGTACGGACACGGACTTTACTGATTGTTTACTTAGGGTTTGGCTGCTCTTCTTCGCCAATTGCAATTGGGTTTTCTCTGGATAATTGCAATCTATCGGAATATGCAGTAAGCTAGGGTTTCGTTTTGATTCCTGCAACTGAGGCGGTGGAACGCAGTCTACGCCTGTTTTCAGACGGAGAAGAAAATCATTTCGGCGCCGGATGTCTCGTGCTGTATATTATTTTGTTCCAAATCTCGTGTTATGCTTAAAACTGTGGCGTTTTGGTCTGAAGGATAGTGTTGAATTTTAGGATTGCCCATAAAACTTTAAGGTATACTCCCATTTTTGCCCCCTTCAACCTTCAATTTTCGCCCCTCAATACCACAGTTTGGTGGTATTTTTCTTTACTTGTAAGTTAGAGGTTTTAAGTTCAAATCTCATAGATGGAAAATTCAATACGAAATTAGGTTACTCATATTGTGGCTTACCGAACTCCACTTCCCCTTAGTGTAAAACTATCGATGTATTAAAAAAAAAAAAAGAGATAACTTCCTTATTTTTTAGCTTTATTAAACATCATAGAATAGTTTGGGGATAGATAAATCTATCCAAAATTCAAACGTGAATACTGCATCTTTTATTTTAAAAGATATGTTGTGAGGCTTAACTTACTCTCATATGTTTTTTTGTACATATAATATCGTTTATTCAAAAAGAAAAAAAACGTTTAAAAATCACATGATTGTTGTGGTCTATTTTATCTGACAGAGGGACTAGGGCCGGCGGCAGAGAGAGAGAGGAGAGAGATGTGTGTTTGTAGAATTGTAGGGGAATGTGTGTGTTGTTATCCCTCCTACATTGTGCCTTTATTTATAGTAGTAAAGGGAGAGAAGATATTCCTTCTTCTCCAAGTAATACAAGTTGTAATAGGAAAGGATAACTAGAATCAAATCTTATCTAGGATTTACACAATCATACTTAAACTAGGAATGTTTACAACACTCCCCCTTGAGTGGGTAAATACTCAAGGTAGATTCAGCATCATGCAGAAGTTGAGGAAGTCGACTCGTCGGCATTGATTCCAAGGAACAACGTTTATTCTCAATAAGGTAGGAACTTGCATAAGTAGTAAGTCTCACTAAAAAAACCCTAAGGCTATGGCAAAAACCCAAGTAGGGACAAAATCCATAGTCTAAGGAAAAATGCGTGAGAAATGCAAAGTCAAAAGAAACGTCTACAGGACGTCATCAGGGATATGACCAGCCCAAGGTGGGTGCCTCGTTAAAACCTAGTTAGGTAGCAAAAACCCAGTGGGAAAAATGCTCCTAATCGTAGGGAAAAAGAGTACATTAAGATCAAGCAAGTATCTAGAAGATACTCCCCCTGAGTTTGACATAATTCCACAGAGAAATAGCAAAGTTACAACTCAGAAAGTTTACGCATACCAATTCCATGAACAAGCTTCTGAAACGTCGCCTTCGGTAGTGATTTGGTGAAGAGGTCGGCCAGATTGTCTTGTGATCGGATTTGCGTGACTTCAATCTTCTGATGCTCTTGTTGTTGATGTGTAAAGAAGAACTTCGGCGCAATATGCTTGGTGATGTCTCCTTTGATGTAACCCTTCTTGAGCTGTTCGATGCAAGCTGCGTTGTCTTCAAAAATCGTCGTCGGGGCATTAACGGCGGGATGAAGATCACAGGAGCTTCGAATATGGCCCACTACTGCTCTCAACCAAAAGCATTCCCGAGTTGCTTCATGTAAGGCGAGAATTTCAGCATGGTTAGACGAAGTGGCAACTAAGGTCTGTTTAGTTGACCTCCAAGATATTGCGGTGCCTCCAACGGTAAAGACATAACCCGTTTGAGAACGCGCCTTGTGCGGATCAGATAAGTATCCCAGCGTCGGCATAACCAACAAGGCGAGAATCAACCCGATGAGCATAGGGTGCGGCATCACTCGAGGATTCGTAGGGATAGAATAAGCCCAAATCTGTAGTACCCTTAAGGTAACGGAAGATGTCTTTCACGCCAGTCCAATGTCTGCGTGTTGGTGCATTGCTGTATCTTGCCAAAAGATTAACAGCGAAGGAGATGTCGGGTCTAGTGCATTGAGCTAAGTACAATAAAGCGCCTATCGCACTTAGATAAGGAACTTCAGGCTCCAAAATCTCTTCATCATCCTCCTTCGGACGGAAGGGATCTCGCTTTGCATCTAGCGTACGAACGACCATAGGAGTACTCGAAGACTTCGCTTTATCCTCATTAAAACGGCGCAACACCTTCTGGGTGTAGTTCGATTGATGTACTAGGATTCCATCCGAACAATGCTCTATCTCGAGACCGAGACAGTATCGAGTCTTACCTAGATCTTTCATCTCTCAAATTCCGACTTCAGGTGCGAAGCAGTTCTCGCGAGCTCTTCAGGAGTTCCGATGAGATTCATGTCATCGACATATACTGCAACAATCGCAAATCCGGAATGTGACTTCTTAATGAACACACAAGGGCATAGTTCGTTATTCACATATCCCTGACTAGTCAAATACTCACTTAAACGGTTATACCACATTCTTCCGGATTGTTTCAAACCGTATAGTGAACGCCTCAGCCGAATTGAGAGCGTGTTCCGGGGTTTGGAAATATTTGAACCAGTCAATGTAAGTCCTTCGGGAACTTTCATATAAATTTTCCGTATCAAGATCCCCATAGAGATACGCGGTTACTACGTCCATCAGCTGCATATCCAGTTTTTCGGAAACTACCAAACTGATAAGGTATCGAAAAGTAATCACATCCATAACGGGTGAGTAAGTTTCGTCATAGTCAATCCCGGGGCGTTGTGAGAAACCTTGTGCTACAAGACGAGCTTTGTAACGCACAATTTCGTTCTTCTCATTACGCTTCTGAACGAAAACCCACTTGTAGCCAACGGGCTTCACATGTGGAGGAGTAGGAACTACAGGTCCAAACACCTTACGTTTCGCAAGTGAATCAAGTTCGACTTGGATTGCTTGTTTCCAGTTTGACCAATCAGCTCTACGTCGACATTCATCAACGGAACGCGGTTCAATGTCATCGCTCAACATGATCTCAGTAGCTACTGCAAATGCTAATGCATCGTCGACAATCATCTCATTTCTACGCCACACATCATCTAAGCTAGCATAATAGACCGAAATCTCACGATTCTCGGGAGGAGGATTCGTCTCTTCAAGGACGCTTCCATAATCTAGAATTTCCTCATGAGTTGGGTAAAATGAGTAAGCGATAGTCGGATTCACGGTAGGCTCTTCAGGACCTTGTGCCGTGGTTTTCCTCTTCCGGGGGTGTGAATCCTTTGAACCAAGGGGTCTGCCACGCTTTTGTGTAGGGGCAGATGATTGGCTAGCCGCTAATGTACGTGGATCACCAGAATTGGCGTCCCGGGCTTCCAGGAGGGTAGTCTGTCGTACATTTGGTACATCCATCTTTGCAGGCGTATTCGCAGCTGGAATATGTGATCTTGTCACGCGCGCTAGATCGGTGAAAGCATCTGGCATGCTCTGAGCTATGCTCTGGAGATCTAATATGCGCTGCACTTCAGCTTCAGACTGAGCGGTGCGGGGATCTAAATGAGACAAAGTGGGAGTCGTCCACGATAATTCGCGTCGTTCATTAGGAACGTTGACGTTCTTATCTCCCCCTAACGACGGGAAGACTGTCTCATAGAAGTGACAATCCACGAAACGAGCGGTAAACAGATCGCCTGTCAAAGGTTCTAAGTAACGAATAATCGAAGGAGAATCATATCCGACATAGATTCCCATCCTTCGCTGAGGCCCCATTTTTGTACGTAAGGGCGGCGAGATTGGCACATAGACCGCACAACCAAAAACGCGCAGATGCGATATGTCGGATTCGCATCCGGTGACCAACTGAAGGGCACTAAATGGTTGTGTCGCAACAGGCCTCATGCGGACCAACTTTGCTGCGTGCAATATTGCATGGCCCCAAGCAGCGATCGGGAGCTTGGTACGTATGACCAACGATCGAGCAATCATTTGTAAACGCTTAATGAAAGCCTCTGCCAGGCCGTTCTGGGTGTGAACATGGGGTACAGGATGTTCAACTTCAACCCCAACCGACATGCAATAGTCATCAAAAGTTTTAGATGTGAATTCTCCAGCATTATCCAATCGAATAGATTTGATCGGATAATCAGGGTGGTGAGCCCTGAGCTTGATAACCTGAGCCAACAGTTTGGAGAATGCAGCGTTCCTTGTGGACAACAAGCACACGTGTGACCAACGTGTAGAAGCGTCAACCAAAACCATAAAATATCTAAATGGTCCGCAGGGAGGTTGAATCGGTCCACAAATGTCCCCCTGAATCCGTTGTAGAAAAATGGGAGGATTCGAACGAATCTTGTCATAAGAAGGCTTAGTAATAAGCTTTCCCATAGAACATGTTTGACATGCAATTTCATGGATCGAACCTAAGCTTCGGGTTAGTGGATGCCCGTGTGAAGTTTTGAGGATACGGCGCATCGCTATTCGTCCAGGATGTCCCAAACGATCATGCCAAAGTGTAATTTCGTGCGCGGTCCCTGTGGTAGGGCCGGCCACATAGTGGCATTCTATGGGGCGTATGGTCGTAGTTTACAGACCACTCGGGTTACACTCCATCTTCTCTAGAATATGCTTCTGGCCATATTCGTAGGAAGTTACGCACAGAAATTCAACTCCGTTTTCTACGTGGGTTTCAGCGTGGTAATTGTTATCTCTAATGTCCTTGAAACTTAGTAACGTTCTTCCGGAACGTGGAGAATAGAGTGCCTCATCAATGGTCAAGATTGTACCATTGGACAACATTATACGTGCCTTACCGTATCCTTCGATCAGGTTGGATAGGCCTGAGAGGGTTGTCAGAGGTGCATTCTTAGGTACGAAGTTAGTGAAATAGATGCGTTCACGCAAAACAATATGCGTGGTTGCACTATCTGCCAGACAACTAACTTTCCCACTAGTCATACCTAGAATGAAAAATTAATTTGAATCGGTCACATGCATAAAAGTTTATAAAAACAAGTATCAATTCAAAATAATTTCATTTATTCAAGGAAAAAACTGAATATCCAAAATAAATCGCCAACTAATAATCCAAAACATAAAGGAAAATTGTTCAAAAATCAACCAAAAAAACAAGGTGGGGTTCGGCCACAAGGTGGAATTCGGCCCCAATTTGTCTTATTTTAACTGAAAAATAAGTCTATGTCTAAGATTCTAATCTTCCATA